TTCTTCGCAGTCTGACGCATCTTAACAGCATAAAACTGTCGTAAAACATTGTTGAGATCTTCAACACTCAGATACTCGAATTCTGGGTTCTTCTAAGTTGGTCGCAGCCAGTCTGTTAAAAAAATGGGAAACAGCGTTTCAGTAAAATTGAAAACCGTATTGTAAATAGTTTGGTCTTACCGGCGAAATAAAAATAAAACAAGTCCCTCCCCTTTCATATTTTTTCTCGTCCAACAATCCATCAATCTCATCTAGTTTGTCACCAGTTAAACTTACAAATCGTATTCTCTTCGTTCGATGTTCACAATCCATTTCAAAGCCACAACACAGAGAACAAGATATGTTTTACAAGTAAAAACAGCGTTCTGGTGTTCGTTTGGGTGTGTGTAGCGACCGACGACCACCCAACGACCGACAATCACAACTTAGATCCCGACAGAAAGCAATATTATGGTTATAACATTTTTCAGATGTTTTTAATTTGGTAATTGTTCTAATATTGCCAATATTTCCCTAAAAATAAAAAAAACTATAGTCAATTCATGTTCCATGGCCACTTTGTTTAGCATAAGTGTGCATTATCAGCCAATAGGACCAATCAAATCGATGGACTAACATCATCAAGATATTGGTATAATATAATACAATAACAATTTACTTGGGAAACCACATATCAACTTGTATTTGCAGGGAAATTAGAGGCATACCTTGAAGGGGCATGGTATCCTGGTAAACTAAACCTACATGCAGACAAGCAGTGGGGTGGAGGAACCTTATTCGCCGAAGAAAGCGAGAAAACTGCTCAAGATGGCGGAAACCGGAAGTTATCACGACGTATACAGGTTCCTGTCGTTGATTTATCACAGTGGATTCAACAAAATACTAATAGAGATGATTATGTCATATTAAAACTGGACGTTGAGGGCGCAGAGTATAGCATAATTAAGAAGATGCTGGAAGATGGGACATTTGACTGGATAGACAAGTATGTAAATTTGTGATGTTGTTAAATTTTCCAATGCCATGCTCCCCAGCGACAAACCAGCGACAAGTTGTGAATGACGTAGATGGGTGTAAGCATCTTCATAACAATTTTTAAAAAAATGCTTCGTTGTCTGGTAGTTGTCATTTCGAATATAGTGTGGAAACATTGTTGTATGCCCTTCTTGTATTCATATACATCACAAAAGCGTAGCATTGCTAGGTGGCGGCTTTTATGTCAGCTGTTGAAGTGCCCCAGCCAAATTCTCCCACTGTGCCTTCATTCTTTAGTGCATGGGGTAATTATATGCCAGTAATATTGAACACACTTACGCAGACAAAAGCCGCTATCCTCGGGGACAGAGCTACGTCGCAAGACGTTCCACGTTGCTAAGACGCGCATCACTGTACCACGTATTTCTACGGGCTATGCGAGCACTGTTCAGGAACGCGCAACGCCGAGCGAAGAGCTGGTAAAAATTTGAGAAAACAACAGGAACTCAACTTTGAAGTAATCCTGAATATTCAAATTTATATGCGTTACACACGCAGGGATAATCTTGTTACACTGTTACACAGGGGAGTCTCAACAACCATCCCAAAGTACCGTTTTCTGGGAGTTTTCGGTCCTTGTTTTCACCGTGATGGTTGCCAAGCGGTGAAAATGCCCGGATGTCTGCCCCTGAGAATAGTTCAAATGGTGCTTAAATTCAACAATACTAAACCTGAATTAACGTAAATAAAGAAATAAATATTTGTGGGGAAACCGTTCGGAAGATTACAATTAAATTTATTTTTTCATTTTCTGGTTACAGATTTCGATCATAATTTTGAATAAAATATGAAAAAAATGATGCACGATTGTTTAATTTTTTTGGCAAAAGTTTACGTTGACGCTCGAACTACTAAGCTGACGTCATTGCGGATATTGTTGATTCGTAAATGCAATGCACGGCATGGTAGGTGCTTTATTTACGAGGCATTTACAAGATTATCACCACAAATGTATTACTATAGAAACGACGTCCTGTTCTTAAACATCATGTACATATTTTTGTTTCAATGAATCTGTATTAGGTTCTATGGTGAGTTACATGATTGGCAACCCACTGGGCTAAGTGCAAATGAAAAAATGGAGATAACGGACAGGATGGAAATTACAGGAGTGAAGTTGATAGACTGGATTGGAGAGAAACGCAGATATGATGACTTTGATGATATGCACGAAATATTGGTAAGGCGATATTCTGTTTTATAAATTACTTCGTTTGTTGTTGTGTTGCGATGGCGACTCGCTCTCTGCTTCGCCAGTGTTCGACTTTGAAACACACTAGGAAATCCGGTTTGACATGTACAACAACATCAGTCGTGCTACTCTGGCATTAATGGTTTACATCCGGGGAACACGTATCTAATTTTGGTCACGAACGCGTACATTGCGTACGTAGTGAAGACACTGTCAGGCAATGACGACGTCACATTGTCACGAATCGGGACATGAAAACCAACACAAGCGCGACCATTCTGAAATAGAAGTGTCGTCTATGAACGACAGCGCTTGCGTAAACACATACATAAAGGGTAGTGGTGGTCGTACAACGCGTATTCAAATTTCATGTAAAGAACACTTTGTGTACGTCGCTACGAGTGCCATATCAAAACTGGACGCGGTGCGACGACCAACGCCCTTTAAATAAGGTATTTATTTGAATAGTGTGCAGACGAAAAGTAACGCAATGCTCATAAAATACAAAATATCAGCACTTTAACCTGTCATAATCATTCCAGCTGGTATACTAAATTAAATAGCGTCAATCTTGTTATCATATTATAAACCTGATTATACTTTACAGAGATGAAAATAATTCCTGAAAATATATTTTCCGTGGAACACAAATAAAATCATTCCTGATTGTATAACTAAAAAAAATACTTATTTATCCCTAAATACACGCTTATTTTTCACTCTTATTTTTCCACAGATTCCAAAGAACACACCGGGAGCAAGGCAAACAATTCTAGACAAATGCATTCCTAAACACGGACATACAATGGTTAGCGTCGTCATTGAGATAGGAATGAATTTGAAGACAGCGATACGACTAGTTAATACCATATTAGCGTATAGATTTAACGTGCCGTTGACTCTGTTTGTATATGGCGACTTTGTGGAAATGTTTCCAGAGCTAGTCATCAAATGGAGCAAACGTTTTGAAATAAACATTCGTGCAAGTGGCCCTCTATCAGGTGATAATTGGGCGGAACAAAACGAAGACATTCTTCGCATGTCGGTGACCAGCACAGAACAACGGATGAAAGAAATCGGGTTCACGCCGGTATATATACTGCCACCTGGTTTGAGTTCCAATGTTCGGAAGGTGATATTTGATAGAGATTTACGGTTAATCAAGGCATCAGTCTCATTTCCACCGAAAACAGGTATGGTCATATTACACTTTATTTGGCAATCTTTTTATTCTATCTTCCTGAAATTGTATAACAATAATTACATATGTATTTAGTGCTGACACTATAATTACTTGATTGAATTGAATTCGGATATGCATTTTTTTTACTTTTCACTCAGTTAATACCAACACATCACACTCCTTATTACATTGTGATTTTGTTTCTTGTTGATTGGTTCTCATCAGAATGTACATGAGAGTGGTAGTTGGTGCCAACCACTACTGGGGCTGGTCACTAGTCGTATAGTGGTTGCTGCATCGGACTTGTGGTCGGTAGACCCGGCTGTGTTAAATATATGTCATCAATTACTTACCACAATGTAGTATTTATAGAGTTGCTTACAGAAAGTTATATCCTGGATATTTACTATATCTCATGCACGAATTGTATCTTACAGGAACGCTGTTAACCAATGGCAACTACCATACCTTTGAAGACGTGCAACGTACCTCAAAGGCTCTGAAAATAATTCACGAAGGTTTAGGTGAACAAGGCGGTATCCTAAGTTTAGATTCAGATTTTCCAGACAGCTATATGATTTCAGTTTTTTTATTAGATTATCTATATGAGAACTCGAAACATAACATAGTTAGTTTACGGGAGTGCTTGACACTTAGATGAAAATGCAAAAATTCAAACTTGGTGATGGTACTAGTTCTTCAACTATTGTCTGTAACTTAGATTGTTTTTTGCAAGAACGATGTAAGTTTTATAAGTTTTAGTTTACACTATGCTGTACACCGAACAAGCAGCTATAACACTGCTCTATTTACCAGTCTGGATGTTGGCCTATATTACCGTGAAATACAAAGAAATATAGGTTAACACAACGGGTTAGATGGCACCTGGAGAGGACATTATTCGGACATCGTTTTTATGACGCTTTATCCTGTGTGGGAAAAGGAGAATTCAGGTTATCGGTCAGTTTCGGTGGGTTTGAAAAATACAAGTGCTATCATGCTATCAAATTAATATACTGTTTGTTGGTTTTTCAAAAAGGAATTATTTATTTTATCAAAATCTATCATGTAATATTTGACATGAAAGGTATCTTAATAAAGATAAAATTTTAAAATTCATTCATATATGCTTACTTTTTATTCTGATATGACAACATTTTCTTTGTATTTTGATAGTTTCATTCATTGACAAATGACATCATTTCATTCATACATGTGATCCTTGGTATATATATGCCAATGTGTGCAAACAATTGTGGCTGTTTGTTGAACACTATTTCAACTTCTCATTTTGCAATCCATACCCTTATATTTAATCTGCTTCAAGAAATTTTTAAATTAAAACGACTGGCTTTGTTGGCACAGTTTGCTCCCAATACAAATTGAAATATTGCCAGTAACATTGAATACATCTTGCTCAGTATACCTTTTTTCCGACATCATATTCGATGACTATAGTTCTCAGAATCAACAAAAGTAATAAATTCACAGAAATCATTTCGATGCCATATTTTTAGAAGACATCGTCATGTCGAATTTTGATTATGACCATAACCTTTCAAGCTACAGATTGTCTAAACAAATGACCCAACAACCAACACATTTTCCATCCGCCACAAAAAATGTATTTATAATTGAACAACCAAGAAAGCAACAGATATGAGATTACATCTTGAAGACAACGAAACAGCATTTTGCAGCCAGTCATTCAAAGCACGAATCCGTAAACTCCTCCCAATATACTCTTCTGTTGCATCAATGGTTCTTTAATATATGTGAAACAAACTTAGCCAATAGCTGCACGCGACTCATTAAACTTTCAACCAACAACTCATTCTATTTATTGTTGTGTGAGGAAGGCATTTACTAGCAAAACGGATCTTTTGAAGAAATATAATGAAAATAAAGTACAATTTATTTAGTAAACATGACACTTGTAGTTGGGTATGATGGACTTCCCATGAATGGGCATAGAAGTTAAAATTTGTTATCCATCAGAAACTTGAAACTATCAACAATTACTTTATAAAAAGTAGTTTAATTCCTAGTGTGGTGAGCGTAGTAGGGGTGCTTTTATTGGTGTATTTGTTGACATGTTTGACCACCGAATTTGCCTTTCATAGTGATCATTCCCAAATATACTACAAATGTTCCAACCAATGTCAGACTAGACTCCCATATCCATAGAGTGGCATTTGGAATTAAGTGCCGTGGCATGTGGCCCCTGGGGGCAATACGGTCGGCTAAATTTCCATCAAAAAACAAGCAAACATGTATACCTTTATGTGTGATGCCATTTACATGTAATTTGATTTCGATGGTTACTGTAACGTTTTGAATTGAATTACAAAAATATATATGGTCACCGAACATTTTTTTCCATAATAACTGGAGGGATGCTAAATCCACACCCACGCGCTCCGATATTAAAAATGCCTTGACCAGTATGAATCTAAATTACATGGTAACATTATTTTGATTTTGTTGAGAACCAATAAATGCATTTGATAGGATAACTCAAAACTCTATCATAACATCAATTAAAACGGCTTGTTGCATTATAAGTAACACATCTGTGTTAAATTGGTGGTTCATGCATATTTAAAGCGGGGTGTCGTCATGCGCATGCGTCAGATGGCCATAACGTTTCATTGTTTACAAACAAGCGTCTACTACGGCGCGCCAAGGGTTGCAAAAATATTCTATCATACAGAATGATAAAAAACAGAATTTCATAGCCTTTTTCTCAAAATTTAAATAATATATATATATATATATCTAGAAATAACAATTACAAAACTAGAATATAAAATACAATATTTAAAGAATACGAGAATGGAAAATGCGGGAAATAAAAAAAAGACAGTAGCAACGACAAAATAAATTTGAAAAAAAAACTTACAAATGAAAAACACTAAAGAATAAAACAAAAATAAACATACAAGCAATTAGAAATAATTATAAAAATAACCAAACTTGATATAAATTAATAAAAAATGGATAATTTCAAAAAAAAATTGAAAAAAAAAAAACAAACTAATATGAATAATTTCAAAAAAATAAAAAAATAATAAATATATTAAAACAAAAACGAGAAAAATTTAGGAATTATGTCATACTATATGTTAATTTTATGTTAATAGCAAAGTAGGCTTATGTTCACATCAATAATTTGTCAAACGCGAAACACGCATTGAAACAAAACGGTTGTTGAGGTCGAGCGATGAGTTGCGTCCGCGGCAGTGCTCCAAACCCAACACAGCCATACAGAACGATGTAGTTTTTCACTTCCCCGGATGATTGTTTTGTCGGTAAAAATCAAATTGCATGGACATCAGACAGTTAAAGCCATTCATTCACGACAGAATTTATTTGTTTGTTGACATAATGTGCTGGAAAATTTTCGCCCTCTGTTTATCATCTTGTAAAACACGTACAGTTTGTGTTTTTTTGCCAACAATGCAAATTCTTTGATTGACGGTGTTACTATAACCACTGTTGGGTTCTTGGGTGCAGCGAAGGCCGTAACAGGCTAAAGAATACAAGCTCGGTATAAACAACACAACTGGTTTATTACAGTAATGGCGGCGTTCAGACTACGCATGTCATTAAATGACGTAATAAAGTACATGTCATTAAATACGACCCAAGCTCAATATACTACATCCCTCCCTATCTAAGTGAATCTCACTCTAGCAGTCTATATTGGGATTTAATATATAATATTCTTTTCTGGATCAGTTCATTCTGCATGCACTTGTACTGAATACTGCAAAACTCAACTAAACTACAATGTGGGTGGCGCTAGGCTCACACCCTAGTGCAGGCTTTATTCTGGCCTATCATATGCACTGTTTCAAAATGTAACTAAACATACATATCATATTTATCTGGAAATTTTCTCTGACGACTAGATCTACGCACTTCTGGTACCGAGGCATAAGTTTCTGACGATTGTTCATTTATAGGATCTGTTGTCTCATCTTTCAATGTAGTAGATTTGTTAGTAGTTGTAGGTGATACATTCTCTGATGAAAGTTCTTCCGGTTTCAATGATGACGAATCATGTTTAGGAACTGGCACTGATGGCGAGATAGAAGGCATCCGTATTGGTACAGATACCATATTCGGTTTACTCTGAGTTTGGTCACTTTGCGTAATTTCCTCTGATGGCATCTAGATCTAAGCTGATCTTGATGTCTTTTCCATCCTGAAATCTAACTAGGAATGTTAGTGATCCCCACTTCTCTTCAATTATTCCAGGTATCCATTTTGGTATTCCCGCATAACCGAAAGTAGGTGTAATCCCTTGTTTTTGTATCATAATTCTTTTTCATCTTTCCCTGGTTATGCAATACTCGTGTCTGAAGTGATGGTTGCACAAGATCAAGTCTTGATCTTGGATGTCTATGCATAAGTAATGCTGCAGGAATCTGTCCTGTGGTAATCTGTGGCGTGAATCTGTATCTTGCCAAAAACCGATACAATCTGGACTCTAAACATCCTGAAGACTTTCTGAGACCTCCCTTGACTGTTTGTACAGCTCTTTTAGCTAACCCGTTACTGGCAGGATGGCAAGGAGCTGTTGTGATGTGCTTTATTCCATTTGTTTTACAAAAGGATCTAAACTCTTCACTGGTGAAACAAGTACCATTATTTGATACTATCACGTGCGGTAGCCCATGCGTAGCAAATGTTTGGTACAATTTGTTGATTGTTGCTGTGGATGTTGCTGTCGGCATAACGTGAGCTTCTATATATTTACTATGAGCATCAACAATGATTAATATCATTTTACCTTAATATGGACCTGCAAAATCTATGTGCAGTCGGAACCACGGCTGGTTAGGCCATTCCCAAGCATGTAATGGTGCTTTAGTTGGAGATTTCGTAGAATCCTGGCATGCTGTACAACTGCGAACACTGTCATCGATTTCAGCATCTAACCCTGGCCACCATAGGTAATTCTGAGCCAAAGCTTTCATGCGCACTATACCAGGAATTATACCCGCGACCCCCACAAAATACATCCTTGCTGAACTGAGAGTTCTTGTTTGCGTCTGATATACGGTCGCAGTTGTTCCTCAACCTGCTCAGGCCAACCTTGGGTTACCCACTTTAAGATGTGTGATAATACTGGATCTCTTGCTGTCCAGTTTTCTACAAGCTCAGCCGTTACTGGTGATCCATCCAGTGTTGATAATGTAAGAACCACCTCTTCAGGGACAGGTACACTGCCTGGTTGTTCCTTTATGGGTAAGCGACTTAATCCATCTACATTTCCCATATTAGATCCTGGTTTATACTCTAACTGGTATTGATAATTGGCTAGTGTAAGTGCAGATCGCTGAATTCTGGCACTTGCCAACTGTGATATAGCTTTATCTTGCTTTAACAGACCAAGTAATGGCTTATGATCTGTTTTGATGCTAAATTCACGCCCATATAGGTACTTATGAAATTTGGTAACACCAAACACAATTGCTAGTCCTTCTCGTTCTGTCTGGGCATATCACTTCTCTGCATGTGCTAGTATGCGAGAGGCAAAA